TGCCGCCGTGCTGGTTGGTAATGTTTTATCTCATTATTTCCGGCTCGTAGCGAGGATGACCCACGAAGCACCACAATATGACGTTCACGTACAATATCGTATGCAAAATGAGTAAGGACAGAGGACATTTTGTCGTGATATTGCTAGACCAAGTTTTGCCGTGACTGCGATAAAAATGCACATTTACGCATTCTTACGTTTGACTTGACCGGCACAATTTGGAATTCTTTTTAGTTTGTCAAAAAATATACGTTAACCTGTGGCTGCGAAAGAAGTCTTGAGCAGTTTCACAATTCGTATTTCACTGCCCGATGTCTGTGAACGACCTATCAATCAAATTCAAAATTGCGTGGGAACCTAGATGATACTTTGTAGCAAGTTCCAGTATAAATGTTAACAATGTCGCCGCTGATGTTCTTTCGGCGTTGTGCAGCCTAGCCAAAATAAAAACGAAAAAAAACAAAAAAAACAAGATCACTGGCATGGGCACGAACACTTGAATATGTGACGCGAAACTAATCATTTCCCATACGATAAATAAATATTACGACCCGGTGATCGATCCAAGACGCTTTTGCCTGTGAGGTTATGGAAGATAATATTAATAGTAATAACTTTATTTTACTACTATGCCATCAGATGTCGCAGTATGGTAAATAAAATAAAATAAAATAAAATACAAATCATAAAAAATACAGTAGCTAAACTATGATAATACATGTAGGTCAAATCCGGGAACGAATGAGTTTCATTTCACCTGGGTCTGAGATGATGCAAGGACAATCAAAATAAATATTATTTGAATACTAGTATACAGTTCTCTTAATTATCTGGGGTAAAAAGTGATTGCTCAGATACAAGAGATTTACTCTACGCAACGTAATTTATGTCTGTGAATATATTTATTAAACATTGCAGCATAGACCGTGTCACTTTAGAATAAACTGTGCATACTAGTATACCCGACTTGAATTCCGGATTCACCAGAAATGAATTGTTTATTTCACTCTACACGGCTCAAATCAGTAACTATACACATAAACAAAAGATTAGGACTATCTAGAATACCAAGCTCCGCCCAGCCCAGTCACACCTCGCAGAAGTGTTAAATTTGCAACAATGAACGTGAAAACTATGATGGTTGTTACTGTTGTAGTTCGGACACAGAGTTAATTAGCACACATTTCCGAGATAAACCATAAACACGAATTCATAGTATATGTGAAGAAATAAAGTACATGTCGTGGACAAGAAGTTTGTTTAACCGCAACCCGGATTGAAAAAAATGTCTGGCGTTGCTTGAACGGGATAGAGGGGCTGTGTTTTAGTTGTCAGAGGTTTAGGGGTAAATAGAAGTACGAGCCCGAGCCCGAGCACTTCGACCTAACCCTTTTAACTTGTATAAATAAAATTAGAGATGGACACAAAATATAAACCAGTAGTGATATGTTTTGTTAAAATGGGGATGTGCATATCAGCGTTGAAATAATCACAGAAGTGTAGTTATCATCAGTAAAAATACGTTAACTCGCTAAACAGGAACTCGTGCGACCCAACGTTCAACCATGGAACTATAATTGGTTCAACAAACGTAATCTCGTTCGTTGCTCAGTGGCGCCAAGAACTAGATAGAGCTAAAGGGAAATGAACAGCCGTCTCCCTGGTTGCCAGGACGCCGACTTTTTTGGGCACCGCCAGCCAATGGTAGCTGTGGTTTCACGCACCTCTGTTGATACTTAGTACATAGAAACGCAAATCGCGGAAATTTTCTTTTTTTAGCTCCATGACTCGCCCCAACCTAACATTGACAAATAAAGAAACACTTGCAACTCAAATACGATCGTTATTGATGACCACAGACCATTGTTACTGTCCGTTAACTGGCTAATTGGATGAATTTTGCGCCTGTTTTTCTGGATGATATCGAGTTTGTTAATGATTACGTCAACTGCCATAAACAACAGAGTTACTAAATATTCCGACCTTCATGTTTCAGGATACACTACATCATAATACAGTCTTGTATGTCGTCAAACTATTCTCTAAATGAGGTATTTATGTTGTTGTCACGTTTACTTTTCCCTTTTTTAGCGTCTTAATTTTCTGGTACGCTAACAAATCTGTCAACAATTGTTCTGTTCCTAAATTCATGGTGAAAATAGTAGAATACAATTTCGGATGTCCGAGGGTTGTCCAATCAGACTGCACGAATTGACTGGTCTCAGACACGGTCTCATTTCCTGTCTGCGTGACATCCGAGAGTCTCTGAAGCTGGTCTCAAACACGGTCTCATTCCCGGTTTATGTGGCATCCGAGAGTCTCTAAATCGGTCTCAAACACGGTCTCAAATGGCATGTTCCTCTGTGGGAGAGTCTCAAAACTGATCTCAAATGCCTTCTAGAGGGTACCGTACATACCTCGGATGTTACATAGGAGTTAACTGTGAACAATATAAGTAAACATAATAAAGGTATAACATTGAAATAAACTGTTTTATTCTTTGTACACAGTGTTGCAAACAGTCATTAATTTATTATATTGCATCCAAAATAATGAGCATGTAACCAAACACAAACTACTGTATCATATGTATGACATATGTATGTATCTATAATACTCACTGCTACATAGTATTTATACTGTAGTCCTGATGTTTTCCATCGTTTTGTACTTTTAACACATGTTCTGGTGACCTATAGTTGTTTTTAATAGGCAAATCAAAATAGCTAGTAGACGTATCCATATCAATTGATTTTTTTTGTTCCGCTGACATTTGACCAACGAGTAGTCATTTTAGTACCAAATATCAACATTTAAAAGCATCATCAGTAGTTTCTCAGGTATGCCTGAGCCGGTTTCTTTTGAAACACACATGATGGATTACTGATGCACGGCAGTTGATAGTGTCAGTGGTAGTGGTCATTTCAGTTCAAAAATATCACATTTGAATAGTTCATCAACATTTCTCGTGGCATGCCTGCACCGATTTTATTCAAACTCTATACAAACTTCACATATACTGTGTTGTTATTATATGTAATTTTTTTTACAGATTTACAGATCACATTCAAAATGCACATGCACTTGTTTGATGATTGAATTCAAAATGTATGCATCATGGCAATTAAAATGTTGAAAATACATCAAAATTGAGTACTTCACGCTTGGTTGTGCATGGACAAAAATTTTGTTGATCTGATCATATGAATACGAGTCATAAGAATGTCAATCATGATAGATGATAAAGGAATGAACGTTTTTACATCTTCTGACATTCCACCTGAAATAACTGTAATATCACTGTACTGATGTAATCTACTACATGTACATGCTAACCACACCAACTTTGATTGACACATTTAAATAGGTCTTTGCATTCTTCTGCACAGTTGCATATTTTTTTTTCCATGCAAAGTCCAACCACATGAAAATTACTTTGAAAAACATCAACTAGGACTTTGTCATTTTCAGTGACTTGTTGAATTTATGTCTGTTCATTTCTTTGCTGTTTTTGTATTGTTTTGTATGACCATTTTTATCTTCTCTGTGAGATATTATGAGTTAATAAATATTATTACATGTATGCAATTCTTGTTTCAGTGCAAGATGCTTGTGCCAACAGTTTCTGTCAGAATGGTGCAACATGTGTTCCTGTTCCTGGTTCTTGTACAGATTGGTCCTGTGCTTGTGCTGAATGCTATACTGGAATGTACTGTACCCAACGTAAGTGTTTAATATTGAAGTATGTCTTTGTACAACATGAGACTTTCTAATTTTCATTTCTTTCTTTTGATGAATTTCAGTGTATTTTAATTTTAGTGTGTCTTATTTTATTTGTCTTTTGTAATCATTCA